ATGAAGTGGTTTCGATTTAGAGGGTCTGATGAAGACCTGCTAAATCAGTGGCAGAGCACTCTCCCGTCAATTTCTGTACTCCAGCTTCCCGAGAAGCTTAAGATAAGTCAGCAGGAAAGCATCTCCTGTCAACACAGCATGGTGTAGACAGCGCAATAAGTTGACCAAAGTTACGTCGACTTCAGTTACGCAACTTATGTAACTGAAGTGGTGTAACTTAGGTAGACTTATTGCATCGACCAGCCCTGACATTTACCAATATAAATCTAATCCTTCCAAGCCTAGTTATGATACCTTCTTTAATTACATGATCACATACTATTTTTTCCCACAGCAGCCAGGAGCTGCAATTGCAGGGAAAATCCTACTCAGCCCTTGCTGCCCCTGGCTGGACCACGTTCAATGCAGATGGAATCTTTGGATAATTCAGTTGCCAAACTCCAACTAGTCTCTGCAGAGAATGAATGAACTGAGATTTTTTAGAGATTCATAATGTAACCAGATCTGGGTGGTATTCCAAGGAACAGCAAAAGGCACATCCCTGACATGAGGGCAATCACTCTGTCTAATTTCAAGCACTAGCTCTAAACCATGGAATTTCTCAATGAAACAGCTGTAAGCATTTTTTTAACATCGGCAAAACAAAGTGGGTTCCCCCACTTCTCTTTCTAGCAAAGGGCTGAACCAATTTTGCTGAAATTAAAAAAAAAAATGCAGCCTCAAGCATACACTTCATATGGAAAATTTCAGCCCAAATGGTTAAAGTTTGGCAAGTTATAAGCAACCTAAAACAGAGTCTCATAATGGGAAGTGTCAAGCAACCAATAACTTTAGGCAGCGCCACAATTCGAACACATACTGCTTTTCAGTGTTCTGCTCTATATCACCTTGTAGGTAGTCATCCTGAGATTATATTGATTTACAACAATTGCTGATAAATAGGGATAGTAATGTATGGATTAAAAATATATTGTTGGAATAATGCAATATCAATTTTTGGGAGGCAGACAGGAAATCACCTATTTTTATTTTTCATATTATTTTTGCAAGGAGAATGATCATGTATTTGTTAATTTCTAGGGCTGTCAATTAATTGCAGTTAACTCACATGATTAACTAAAAAAAATTAATTGCGATTAATCACAGTTTTAATCACACTGTTAAAAATAGAAATATTTTTGATGTTCTTCTACATTTTCACATATATTGTATACTGTGTTGTAATTGAAATCAAATTGTATATTATTTTAATTACAAATATTTGCACTGTAAAAACGATAAACAAAAGAAATAGTATTTTTCAATTCACCTCATGCAAGTACTGTAGTGCAATCTCTTTTGTGTGAAAGTGCAATTTACAAATGTAGATTTTTTTGTTACATAACTGCACTCAAAAACAAAACAATGTAAAACTTCAGAGCCCACAAGTCCACTCAGTCCTACTTCTTGTTCAGCCAATCACTAAGAGAAACTAGCTTGTTTGCATTTACAGGAGATAATGCTGCCCTCTTCTTATTTACAATATTACCAGAAAGTGAGAACAGGCATTTGGATGGCACTTTTGTAGCCAGCATTGCAAGGTATTTACATGCCAGATATGCTAAACATTCATATGCCCCTTTATACTTCGGCCACCATTCCAGAAGGACATGCTTTGATGCTGATGGCACTTGTTAAAAAAAATGTATTAATTAAATTTGAGACTGAACTCCTTGGGGGAGAATTGTATGTCGCCTGCTCTGTTTTACCCGCATTCTGTCATATATTTCATGTTACAGAAGTCTCAGATCATGACCCAGCACATGTTGTTCATTTTAAGGACACTTTCACTGCAGATTTCACAAAACCCAAAGAAGGTACCAATGTGAGATTTCTAAAGATAGCAACAGCACTCGACCCAAGGTTTAAGAATCTGAAGTGCCATCAAAATCTGAGGAGGGACGAGGTGTGGAGCATGTTTTAGAAGTCTTAAAAGAACAACACTCTGATGTGGAAACTACAGAACCCGAACCATCAAAAAAGAAAACCAACCTTCTGCTGGTGGCATCTGACTCAGATAATGAAAATGAGCATGCGTCGGTCTGCACTGCTTTGGATAGTTATCGAGCAGCACCCATCATCAGCATGGATGCATGTCCCCTGGAACCGTGGTTGCAGCATGAAGGGACAGATGAATCTTTAGCGCATCTGTCATGTAAATATCTTGCGATTCTGTCTACAACAGTGCCATGAGAACGCCAGTTCTCACTGTCAGGCAAACAAGAACCAGGCAGTATTATCTCCTGCAAATGTAAGCAGATTTGTTTGCCTGAGCGATTGGCTGAACAAGAAATAGGACTGAGTAGACTTGCAGGCTCTAAAATTTTACATTGTTTTATTTTAGGATTCAGGGTTTTTATACATAATTCTACATGTGTAAGTTCAACTTTCATGATGAAGAGATTGCATTACAGTATTTGTATTAGGTGAATTGAAAAATACTATTTCTTTTGTTTTTTTACAGTGCAAATATTTATAATCAAAAATAAATATAAAGTGAGCACTGTACACTTTGTATTCTGTGTTGAAAATGTAGAAAACATCCACAAATATTTAAATAAATGGTATTCTATTATTGTTTAACAATGATTAATCACGCGATTAATTTTTTTAATCTCTTGACAACCCTATTAATTTTATATAATTTCTTGAATGAGTAGACATATGTCTTTGCTGCATATCAGAAGATGATGCAGCTACTCTGGATTTAGCCCACTTCTGTAACCAAGAGCTGAATTTAGCTGAGAATCACCAGCTGTCAGTAGAGAATATGATAGTGGGAGGATACTTTATCGATCACTGCATTATGGTTTTTGAAAAAGAACTCATTTTGGTGGAAAGAAATCAAAGTAATTTTTCAGTTAAGAGTTCACAGGCATTTTCCATAACAGCAAGAGAGTAATTTTAAACCAATAGCTTTCTTGAAAAATTAAGATGGTGATTTACCCCCTTTGAAAGCACCAATGTGTGTTAATTACCTAACAGCCTGATCTACTAACACTTATTAATGGGTGCATACTTATTACCAAGGATATTCCCACCGATGTGCCTATGTTCAGTAGCAAACATTTGGTAGCTTATGGTCCTGCATGCAAGCTACTTTGTCAAAGATTTGCAGTCTCCCAAGAACCATATACTAAAATGCAGCGCCAGATTAAAAAAAAAAAGACAGAAAAACTGTTGAAGCCTCATTTATTTATTATTGTCTCACTTATTGAAAACATCTGTCCCCACAGTAACTTCAGCAAAAGGGAGCTCTTAACATCTGTGAATAAAAACGGGCAATATCTTCATAAGACAGGGGCCTGGGTGGGGACCTATCAGAGAAGGAGTTGAGGAGCCTTTCTAACTTTCTAAAGCTGGGAATGTTCACAGACTGATGAATGAGAAATGCAATTTCTGAATCCAGATCATTAACAGTGAGAAAGTGCTGCCTAGACATAGGAAAAAAGAAAAATATCAATCCTGACCCCAGAATTTCTTCTGGTCCTTATTAACATCATGTCAGCTAATGTTCAGATTAACTGACACCATAGATCACCTGACCTCCGACACAAATACTAAACTGACAGGGCAAGAATTTAATTTGGAAGACTTTTTGTGGAGTATGGGCTAGTTAAACCATTTCAGAGATAATATAATAACTCAGTTTACTAGTATATTCACTTTTAATTGGTTTTTAATAATGTATATGTAGTGGCTAAATTCTCTAGAATATTCTTTGTAACTAAACTTTCATTTACGCATAAACTGTATGCAGCTGTGTTTAGAAGACATACTTTTAAATGACTAGTATAGCCAGGGGTATGAATGTCTGGTTGAGCAGAGACAAGTCACTACGTTAGTCAGCTGGCAGATTTTTTTATTCAGCAGGGTACTGGGGTTATTCCCTTCTCCATTCCTTGCCTTAAAGCTAGTGGAGGGAAAGTGGTACGAATTTTATCCCAGGTTACTCCATAGGGTCCAAGTATTCACTTTACAACTGATCAGGAATTTTGCAGGATAAGGTAGGTTTCAACTAATCTCCCCATTCAAAATATATATTTTCAAAATAAAAGTTTCATATTTTGGTTTGAAAACCAGATCTTTTGACATCTTAGTTATCCATATTTTTAGAAAGGTCATATTTTAAAAAGGTTGAAATGTATCAGTTGACCCAATCTAAAAAAGTTTTTGACTTAACAGTTTGTGAAATTTTTTAAGATTTCAACTTTTTTGTCCCAATTCAGGATGGAAATTTTTTTTTTTTGAAATCTCAAAAATTCTCACAGGAAAGAAAAAATGTCCAACCCAGTTCTTTCTTCCTCTACGTCGTTCTCTAGAGGAGGCAGCTCAGTGGTGGTTCTAGTGGAGAGGACTCTGGGTAGTTTAGCCAAGGCCAGGGCTCTGGAGGTAGCATGGGCAGGAGCTATGGGCCCTGAAAAATCATCATTTTCAATAGAGGACTGTTGCGATAATTTGTCTTGGATGAAAAATGAAGCCATGTGCTACCTAGGGCAAGACTTTTTTCTTTTCTTTTCTTTTCTTTTAAGAAGGGCCCATCTAAACTCTATGAATGTTCATCTTATGGGTATCCTCAGTGTTGCAGACCTGAAGAAGAGTTCTGTATAGTTCAAAAAGTTTGTCTCTCTCACCAGCAGAAATTGTTCCAATGAAAGATATTACCTCACCCATCTTGTCCCTGTCATCTTATGGGTAATCATCAGTGGCAGTCCCATACAATAAATCTTACCTAACCTAAGTGTTCATTAGGCGTAATCAGGTTCACTCCAGTTTGTAAAGTCACCATACTCTATTACACTGAGAACATGTTGTGGAGGTGACAAGGCAAGTTAGCAGTCTCATCCTGCCAACCAACAGCGAATACAACTTTTACCCTTGCAGTTCAAATCGGTCCTGCACACAGGAGGCTTGCAGGCCACACCCCAAGCATCTAAAATGAGGTATAAACTGTAACTTACCATCCCCGGTTTCAACACAGAGTTGCAAGCCTAAATTGTTCTGTGGATTAATCACCCAATGATTGCTGGTCACAGTGATATCAAATACAAGCCAGCCCACATTAAAAGCTTGAGTCTTCCTTGTGTCCAGCAGGAACAGTTCTGCATCCCTATTTTAAAAACAAACAGCAGAAAGTTAGGGCAATAGCAAAGTCATTGTTTCTTGTGTTTATCTGCTCTCCTGAAAGTGATTTGCCAGAGCCCATATGAATAATGAGGCACTGTTTTTTGGTCTTCCTTTGCTGTGACACAGGGTATTTTAGCTGTTTCCCCTGGAAAGAGACTGCCTATAACAGAGTCCTTGGTGGTTCCTTTCTCAGGGAGTGGGGAAAACCTGACCACGTCCAGTTATCTGTACAAGGCAGTCATATCAGAGACATGTGCCATTGCTGCTGCTGCCTGTGCTACCATGGCTACACTACTATTTTTAGCATGCTAGCTCAGATGAGAGCTAGCAGAAGTGTGTCCACAAAAGCTGGGAGTCAGTCTGGATTGTAGTGTAGACATACCCTAAGTGTTTGGTGTGGATCATCTCTTTGTGTTTGTACAGTACCTAGCACAATAAGCCCTGATCCATGATTGGGGCTTCCTGGGCACAACTATACTACAAATAAATAAATAAAATAATAATAATAGTATCTGTATCCGTTTGTTTTTCTTAAAGCAGCATGCAAGTTCAAGTTAAATATTCTTACCACTATTTGCCATGGTGAGCAAGCATTTGTAACCTCAGAAATCTTTTAGTAAGTAAAGTATCTGATTCAAAATTATTTCTGTCCGAATTAATGGTAAATGATTCAAGTCAGACTTAATCCATCCTTTTTTAAAATTATACTAACTGCACACACCAAGATTATATGTTAAAGAAATACAAAGTGACAACAAGCTTATAAAATACTAAACAAACAGGTTAAAAATTATGGTGGCCTTGAGTAAATGATACTTCAGCCAGCAGCTGTGCAGATGGGCATCACAGTGACATGATGGGTGGAACTGGCATGTCTAAAGTGTCAGTTTTAAATGCAGACATAGGCTCTGATTCTGCAAATTTATACAGATGAGAGTAATTTTACATACAAGATTTTGAGAGATATTGCGCACCTACAGCTCTCATAATAGTCAATGGGAGCGGCAAGGGTTCGGATTTTCTAACAATCAGGCCAACAGACCCCCAAGAGACTACAGTATACAGAAGTGCATAAGTATTTGCAGGATCAGGGCTAATAAAAGGTGACCTATGGAGAGGAGACTGGCTTTTTATTAAAACAAGATCAATTACATTTTGCCAATGCTCCCCCTTTTCTTTGTTAAATTATAATGCTTGTGATGACATTCTCCTATCTATTTGATTATAGCAGACATGTGTTAATGACCACACAAGAAGAAAACGTACTGCTTCCTCTGGGTATAACTAACATGAAAACAATTCTACAATTCACGAGACCCTGACTTGCTACTCAAGCACTGAACACATTAACAGCGTACCACAAGCTCATAAAAGGTATTCTCTGGGGTCTTAAATGCCTAATTTTCCTCTAATAAGCAGTTTTAATCGGAACTTTAAAAGTTAAACATCTAGCTGTAAACGGGATGCCCTTTTAAGATAGTTATTTATAAATATTTTTATATCACTTAGTAACAAATGTACACAAAGATGACAATTCTGTAATTCTATTTTGGAGCAAAAATATGAGATTTTTAAAAATTGACTGTTTTAATGTTTACTATTCTCTTCAAGAACAAATTACTTAAAATATTAAACACAACAGGAAAAAATGTTTACAAAACTCAGGATTTTATAATAAATATTTAAAAGACATCTGAAACAACTTTACAATGATAACAGAACTGGTAGTTTCATGCACACTCCCCACCAAGGAGTCCATGTGATAATGTCTGTTAAACATCATTTTCTTTAAGATTCAAATTAGCCTTTAGTCCAAATCTGTCATTTTTGCAGGAGAGCCCTTTTCAAGGGACCTGGTCTACACTACACAATTATGTCAGTGTTCACACTACAGCCTTGTCCTACTGATGTAAGTGCCCTACTACATCAACATAACTTCACCTCCAGGAGAGGCATATGCTTATGTTGGTGTAGTTAGGGCATCACAGTGTCTGTGTGGACACTGCCTTACTTACATTGGCTGTTGGCTGCCTTGTCAATTTCAGGGCTCCATGCTGGAACCATGAAATTGACAAGAAAGCCAGGCAGCCAGAGCTCTGCTGCCCCTGGGCTGGGAGCAGGGAATTGTGAAGCCCAGGCAGGAGTGGGGAGGCAAAAGCTGCGGGGCGGAGGCTGGGGGGACAAGCTGGGCTCCCCATGTGGAGCTTCCCAGAGCTCAAGCCCTGGCTTTCAGCCCCCCACACACTGCCCCTCTTCAGTTGGTGGAAGCACTCCTGGTGAGGATGTGCACCACCCACAGAAGGTGGGTAGCGTGGACATCAGTAATTACTGCGGTGGCTGTAAGTTGACCCCCTTGCTGCCCCAGCCCTGGGCTCTCCCCCACACACACACCTCCTGCCGCCCCAGCCCTGGGCTCTCCCCCCCGGCCCTGCACCCTCCTTCCGTCGCAGCCCTGGGTCACTGGTAACTCGCTCCCAGGGCGGGTCATTCACCAGGAATTTTGGATGTGCACAGAACACC